AGTTCAAGCAATTTGTTTGAAACTTCATGATACGATAAAGCGTGAGATTTGTGATTCTAAAGGAGTCGGTGCAATCTTCTCAAGAATAACATACAGATTTTTCCCTACTTCGATCCATCATTACGTGATTTGTCGCAATTGACGTGTGTTAGAGGAATTGATAAGAGAATCGGCTCAGGTATGTTAAAGCTACCCCTTCTTTCTTTTTGGCATGATCCATACAATACAAGCGACACGAGCAAATGCACAACTTTCATAAATGACTTTATTCATAGAATTACTAGGGGTGCCTATGTTCTTGATTCCCATGTGAATTATCATTATATCTTCTATTCATGGGTCTCAAAAAAATACGTAGTTGATAAAGTTATCCGAAAGGTATATTAATCATTTAACATTCCGAGAAAATCTTATTAAAGTATTTCTTATGCATTTCATTCATATATACATGTACATTGACCCATGACCAGATGACGTTATATACGCGCATATTATATATATATGGGATATGGGAAAAGGTTACGGCGTTATATACACACCACCACCTGATCAACTGGTATATGTAGATGATTTTGCCCACAGTGGCCGAGATGGTATGATGGGATGCCCTAAAAGGCTGGATGATGTTATGTACACCTATACCTATGCATGATACGACATTTATACGCACGTACATGACATTATAAATATTTTAGGGTTTACAAAGTTATTTAGACTTACAAGCGGAATTCTTTATTCCATGTTTCATCTATGTCTCTTATGTACTGATTTTCATGCCTTACATGCTTAGTACATTATTCGTACCGACGCCCTATTTCCCGGGGCCTGCGTTTTATGATCGCAGGTACAGGTAGACAAGCTGACGGTCCCCCTCTTAGGATCCTTGATCAACGAGAGTTGGTGTGCTCCATTTGATCCGGAGCTGCTTTGGATTTTGGTGCGATATGTTTATATACATATATGGGTATGACGGGCCCCAGTCCCGTCCTTGTACAATTGTATATTCTATTAGAGGTCTGTAGACAGTTATGTATAGTTGGATAGTATGTTGCTTTGTCGGCTTCCAGTTTTGGATATATAGTTGTCTATAGCAGCCTTGTCGGCTCGCCCTACCGTATTTCGCATGTATATGTATATATATCTTTTGGATAGGTTTCCCTCACGTATGTTATTCTCGTAATTCAGCATGTTATTGACAGATGTTATTCATGTTTATATCTTAGACGCATTCTTAAAGGTGTTCGACATGTAGGACTCGGGCACTCGTCATGGCCCATCGGTTTGGGTCGTGACAGTAATAAGTTAGAAGAGTTGCTGAATAAGGTTGTGTCTATATGAAGTGTAGTTTGATTGCTCGAGCAATGGTTTAAGTGTGGGGTATTGATGGTAGGCTATAATTACGTGTTTTAGTCGCTTATTGCACTCCAATTTACTGCACTTTAATTGAGTTTGAGCTTTAATCGCTAGTGTTTTGCACTAATTGTGTGTTTTATGCCTTGTTGGAGTGATTCCGAGCTATGTAGATGTTATAGAATAAATTCAAGTGATTTTCTTTGAAGTCTGAGTAAAAGCCCAAGGGATTAAGTCGGGATTGCGTTCGTGGGTCAAGGACCAAGCATGGATATAAAAAACGCAAGAAAAATCCGTACTCAGAGAAAGCCCCACAGCCGCGACGCGTGGGGCGGCGTGTGGCGTGCCGCAGCTGCCCAATTTTCCTGAAGCATGTCAGAACAAGCTCTCTGAAGTTTCTCACAACCGTCCCGGTGGCGTGTATCCCCATGCGGCGCGCCTGTGCAATTTTTATAGAGTTATTTTCCAAGTTCCCGCAGGAAAAGGTATTTTCATATGGGCCCGACCCTACTTAGTATAAATACATATAAAAAGGGCATTTCATGGACTTTTGACACATCTAAGACCCAAGGAGGCTAAGGAGGAGGTGGAGAAGCGAAAGCACAAGAAATTCATCATTCAATCCTCACTCAAGACAAGAGTTTGGATCGTTTTATGTTTTTCCTTATATTTGTGATGAATTACTCCATATCCATGGAGTAATTCTCTTTAGGGTTTGATGGATTTGGTGTATACTTGTTTGTGGATAATTAACTCTAGTTTTTATGTATTTAATCGTTTTGGATGTTTTAATCGTTGCATCTATATTCACTTGTTAATATAATCGAGAGAGGCATAACTTGTGATATTGTTGCATTATTTTTTGTTGGTTGAAGTCATTAATTCTTCTTAGTAATCGGAAGAGGCTAGTTGAATAGGAGGATAATTAAGGGAGGTTCTCCTAAAGACCAATTCACTACGAATTCTTGCATATTTTCACGTACTTAAAATTGGTTCATCTTGTGAGGTTGAAACTTAATCGAGAGAGGAGTTTCTACTAAATAATTGAACTTTAACCAAGTGAATTCGCGAGACTCACTTGAACACGAGAAGTCAATTATCTAGAGTTAAATCCCAAACATTTATCTTGCACCTATCCTATCAACCCTATCTTCTGCCAATTGATAACTTCCTTTGCTTATTACTTGTGTTGATCGTCATTAGCCAATAGTTTAGACTCTTAGTTAATTTTAGTTTTAACTCACACAAACCTCAATTGTTGATCATCTTGGATAGCAATATAGCTACAAACTACGATAATACTGTTTACTCCAATCTTTGTGGATACGGTATTTTAATTTACTGTATTCGACTAGCGAGCATATTTTAGTGTGTGTTTCAAGCTCGTCATAGAGGAGTTTTACTCCTAGTACAATTTTAAAAAAGGTAAAATTCCTCCTTGTACACCAATCACTGATACATCAAGCGAGATCTGTACCGTGATATCCGGTCGGGTGCGGATATCACAGCCCTCTATTAGTCGTGTGCAACCGTTTGTAATGCTTTTCGAGGTTTTGGAACTCGTTCGGGGTTCAGGGGGTGTTGACTTGTCGGGCTCGGTGGCGAGCATCCCGTTCCGGCCTCGAACCAAAGAGTTCTCATATTCGGTCTCTATCTCATACATACTCACCGAGAATTCGGGGAGTGTGCTGACCCCGAGTTTACCCGTATACATATACAAACTATAATTGCAAAAATAATAAATTATAAACTATCTTCAAAATTACCTTGACTAAAAAAATCCTATCTGTGAGCTTCCACACGGAGAAGAGAAGAACCAGAATTAGCGAAAAAAGGAATAGAAAATAATAGGCAAAATACCTTAAACCACCCCTAAATTTGGCTCAGATTATTAGTATCCTTCCGAACTATGCCCGGTCTTAATTACCCCCCTCAACTTGGCCTTTTGAGAGTCATTACCCCCCTAAATACCGATGTGGCAAAAAGTGTGAGGGCACTCGCCTGCCACGTGGATTTTTCTGTCTATGTGGCATTTTTTTGAAAAATAAAATATTTTTTTACCTTTTTAAGAATATTACTTTTTTAGATAATTCTTTTCGAATAAAATTTATAATAAAACTTGGATATAACTACATTATTTAGACTAAATATTTTTATTTGGCCAAAACTAATAAATTTTTAGTTAATCTTTTTTGAATTTGACCTGAAAATAAAGATTTATACAATTGAAATAAATAGTCAAGGCATCTAAAAAGTTATAAAAAATACAAAGTTGAAATAAATAGTCATTGCATCAAAAGAAGAAATAAAAAGAGTGTACAATTGCACTTATAATTTCTTGCAATTGTACACTCTTTTTATTTCTTCTTTTAATGCAATGACTATTTATTTCAACTGTGTATTTTTACTTTTCTAGGTAAAATCTGTAAAAAAAATTAAATAAATTTTAATTGGAGAATGAGAGAAATTGAGATTGAGAAATGAGTACTGAGTGAAGAAATG